TTGTAACTCATGATCAAATTAGACTGACTGTTGCCATCTCAGTGTTAACTTGAATGTTAAAATGAATAGTGAACATAACCTTTGGTTCCTTGTATGCTTAATCTTTGAGCACACAACTTTTGGAAATGTTTTTGAGAGGTTTCATGTTCTCCTCTATTCCCAAAGGTGTAGATATGTGCATGAATTCCTCAACAAATACGCCATGCAAAAGCTATACAACTGTACTGATTAAACCTGCAGGACAGATTTCATTTTAGGTTTCTCCCTGAGACAATGTGTCTCTAAACTGTGAGGACAAGAGAAATGATCAATGTTCAACAGCTTTGATTTTCACAAGATGCCAACTGTAAAATGTGGCATGAATGCTGAAAACATGTTTGGTGTCTTTTGTTTTTTTTTTTTTTTACTAAAATAAATACAAGATAGAAGTACTAAAATTAATAAAAGTGAAAACTTGTGCCATTTATTAAAACCTGCCATACATACTACAACTGAGGTATTTACTGTATCTGATATTTGTGCTGCTGGCCATTAGCAGCTTATGAGACTCCCAAGACTAACAACACAGCAGAGCCTCAAAGAGAGTGAACAGCACCAAGCCAGTCTCCCAAGTTACCTGATCAACCAATGCAGAGAGTATATATGCTGCGTGGGAGCCATGGAGTGCAAATACTCAGCCTTTAATGCAAATTTAGGGAAAAAAGGAACTGCATTTGTCAATTTCTAAATTTTTCAAATTCTCCCCCTCTAATATAACTTTTTAGTTTTCACACTTTGATGGTCCTACATTGACTGATGTCATTTTACTAAAAATGCATCTGATAATAATGGAAAAAAATGACATATGCATATTATTTGATAAATAAGAAATTGAACAAGGTAGAATTCCATCTTATCCAAACAGAGAGAAAGTTAAAGAGAAAATTATTATTAATATTATTTTTGGTCTATGACAATATAATTCTGGTTTCCGAAGTGGTCCAGACACAACCAACTGACTTGTGGATAACCTCTCTTACTTAAATGTTTTATTGCTTCTTCAATATTTTTTTCCTCCCATTTATTGGCTTGTCATTTGCTTTACCTGTAAGGGACAAGATGAAAATAGAAACTTCACACACCAGCAACAAGCATGGGCCTGTTTTCATTCCATCTTTCACTGCTACTATTTCTATGAGGAGACATGAGAGAGCTTGATTAATTGCTGCCATTTCTTTTAATCTGTGTCTCATGGATTGCATTAAGCATTTTAAACTGTCAAGAAAACAACTGATGCAAAAATTCATGGAAAAAAAAAAAGTGCATACATTACTAGGCAGCTGCAGCTGATCACACAATGTGTATTCAAAGGGTAAGTCCAGGTATACATGAAGCAACAGCCTTAGCTGACTGATGGTGACTAAGAACACACATGTTTGTGCAAAACCATAATGGGCCAGTTAAATACTGAGACACTGGTAATGTAGTTTCAAAACAGAGTTGCCAAAACACTATAATTAGTGGCTGATGAAATATTTTGTGGTGGTATGCACTGTACAGTACACACAGCTGCTATAAATAACATGAAGAAATTTGAACATTTGAATACAGCCCTGAGCCTGACGCCACTCACTGACCTTCATGCTTTCAAAATGTCTGATTTTCAACTTTTGGTGTTATCTGTCTAGTGTAGTATTTTGCACCAGCTTTGTTCTTTGCACCTGACAACATTCAAATGACCGCAAAACTATTGTCCTTTACAAACAACGAAGCAGAAGAAACTTATTAGGAGGTCATGGGATTGTGTCTCTTTTCATGAGCTACCAATGGGCCAGCAAACTGGAGCTTAGTGCTTAAGAAATGGAGAAGAAACAAAGTGTGAACTATAGAGCTCCAGCATGCCAACGAATCACTGAACTGTATTAACAACAAACAGGGTGTTAGTCACTGGAGTCTATGTGCATCACAGTTGTTCCTCATTGCAACATACAGTATCAACAAGTGATGCCTGAAGACCTGAGTCAAAGCTATAGTGTGACAAGAAATGTTTACTACTTTGAGCAGTAAATACACTCTGCCATTAAAGACCGAGGTTTTTCTGTCACTGATCCTACTGTAACATTGTTCATACTGTGAAGGTTTTCCATTTTCGTGTCTTACAGATGTGTGCTTTACAAACTAAGTTTATGAAGACTGATCTAATGTCTTCAGAAAACAGTAGTGGAAAATAATCAAGTACATTTACTCAAGTATTGTACTTCAGTACAATTTTGAGGCATCTGTGCTCGAGGATTTTCATTTTCTGCTACTTCACAACATTTCAGAGTCAGATATTGTACTTTTACTCCACTACACTTTGTTTAATAACTTTAGTTATTAGTTAATATATATAATAATCATAAGACTTTCATTCCTGGTAAAGAATTCACAAGCTACTCAGCAGTATTTCAAGTTATAAGCATATAAAGTAGTTAGAAATAACTCCACCTTTACCAGCTGCACCATTGTGATGTACACAGTAATGCATCAATAATTATAGCACAAGAACATAATATACATGCATGTGTAATGTGCTATCAGGGATAATGAGTAAGCTACTTTTACTTTTGGTACTTTAAGTATATTTTCATGCTGATACTATTGTTGTTTCACTTAACATTTTACATCAATTTGTAGTAAGCAAAATAAGTCCAACAATCAAATTCACGGTTTGTTGTTGATAGATGCACATGAAAAAAATAAATAACTTATTTTTTGGCACCACTATATTAAAAAGGGCTTAATTGATTATTTGTCAAATTATTTACCAATTATTTTTTCTATATCAGTCAAATACATTTTTGGTTGCCAGGTTTTTTAAAAACCTATTCTGTAATAATGCAGTCGTAAATGTTGATAATTCATAATTCTCCTACAGTACATGTTAAGTTCTTAATAAAGGGCTTTAGCATTAACCCTCCAATTTCATTCTTGAAATATGAGGTCATATAGTATAAACAATAGTAAATGATTTAAAAGAAACACCATAGTTACTTATAAGTCACTTGCAAAAGATGCCTTATTCACATTTGGCATTGTATGTGAGGCACAAATACTCCTCCCTGGTTCCACTAGTAAAGCCATCCCAGATAAGCTGTTATTAGGTAGATTCTGATGTATACACAAACACACAGAGATGCACGATGGCCTCACAAGCTTCTACATGCAGTGAACAGAATGAATACATGGTATTTGAGCTGTTGTCATTGTGTGGTTAGCTTACAAGTATCCCCGCTTGACATGCCACCTTTCAAAATAGTGACTTCACTGTGGATTGGGTGTCACACTCCACACAAACAGATTACTACGTGAAAATCAAAACATTTACCCCAGCACAAGCATGCGTAACCTGTGCAAAACAGCTTGAAAAGTACACTTTGCATAAACAAAACTCCAACCACTTGGTATAATGACAACATATCAGTGTCTACACTGTGATGTCAACACTGGTTTGCAGGTGGTGAATGAGGATATTATTTTCCCATTTAACTATTTGGTGACAGTGTTCAGCTCAGCTAATAAAACCAGTGATTTGGTCAAATAATTTACAGGAAACAAAAATACCAATTAAATAAAGATGGGTTAAACATGAACACCAGATGAACCTGGGGAAGTGAATGTGAAAAGATCTGATCTGTGACATTCGATGTGAATGAAACACTGACATGAGCTATTAAAGGCACAATATAGAGTTCAATGAGTATGTTGGCCTTGTTTTCGTCACTGTAATGCTGAAACTGCATCACCAGTAACTCCCCCTGTTAAAAAAAAAAAGTCTTCCAAGACCTTTAGGCTGTTCATTGAAAGAGAAAATAAATCACAATAAGTAATTTGTTAGGTGGATCAACTCCCCTGAACTAAACAACCGGAAGGACTAGCCCCACTACTTGTAAGAAAGAGAAACAGTGCAACAATGGTTTCTATGTGGGCTGTGAGTTGGCATGAACATCTGAAGTTCACACCTGTGCTTTGATGCCAGAGATCTTGAATGTCTATATCCTGCTGCCACATGGAGTCAACCTTATTACAGACTGTAATTTGAATACTATACTCCAACCTGGACAAGTAGTGTAGAGCAGTGTTTACCCTATAATGATGACAGAGAATTTTAGCCCGTGTAAACAAATGCTTCCAGTGGTGGAAGAACTCAGACTGCTTACTTTAATAAAAGTAGCAATACCACAGTGTAAAAAGTGTAAAACTCCTGCAATCAAAATGTTACTTAAGACTTTAAGTAAAAGCACATAAGAAATTGGCATCAAAATGTACTTCAAGTGCTAAAAGTACTGTTTATATAGAAAAACACTTCACATTGATGTACATCATATTACTGGTCATTGGTGCATTACTGTGTACATCACATTTAATGTTGCAGCTGGTAAAGGTGGAGCTCATTTTAACTCCCTTACATTGCTGTAATTGGAATTATTGCTGGGCTTGCCAATTTCCCACCAGGGATAAAAAAAAAAAAACTCTCTTAATATTATATTGTATTTTGTTTTATTAATCTGATTCTGAAACATATCTTAAAAAAAAAATCAAACCGTAGTAGATATTTGCCTACTAAATATAGTGAAGTAGCAGAAGATGAAAATACTACCGTTATTTCAAAATTGTACACAAGTACAGTACTTGAGTAAATGTGTTTAGTTACTTCAAACCTCTGGATGGCTCTGGCTCTGATCATAGTTCCACCTGAAAGTGACAAATGATGCTGAACTACCTGCAGGCATGCACGGCACCTTAGAAATACAAAGGAAACATACGCCACCTGGTTGTCTCAGGTGAAATAGTCCCAAGGTGTTGGCTAGATCAAATTCCACAGGTGAGACAGTCATAAGGCTGCAGTAAATGGCCTTTTCAGTGATCATCTTCTTTTACTAATTAAATACTTTAATTTGGGCTCATTGTGACATTACTTATTAGACTTTTTAAATATACAGAGACTATCATGTAGGCAGTGTGAAGATATTTGCGATGCTCCAAATCTTTTGAAATCATCTAGCCCCACCTTCTTGGGTTGGTCCTGAGGTGAGCTGGCTATAAAGTGTTGCTGACACAAACCGTAGGTGAGACGGGATTCAGTGCTCTGCAGGGTACGACAGCAAAGAGGGACATAATTGGATCACTTTCAAAGCAATCGATACCTTGACGCGCGCAAGTTACGGACTATACGTGGACAGCATATTGGACAGACCTTATATAGAACCAACATAGACAATCACAAAGCATGAAGTTGGAGGTGTTGTGCGGGAACCACTATGGCATGAAACATTTCGAGATGCCCAGCGATGCAGAGAGGGGTTCCTTTCCCGTTTCTGCTGAAGAGGAGCTGGGGTCGGATGGGGACTGCGTGGCGCACAGCCCCACACCTGCTATTCCGTGCGGCAGCACCAAGTCAAAACCGTACACACGGAGAGCCAAACCTCCATTCTCATATATCGCCCTCATTGCCATGGCTATCCGGGACTCCTCGTCTGGACGTCTGACTTTGGCGGAAATAAACGAGTATCTGATGAAAAAGTTTCCGTTCTTCAGAGGCAGCTACACCGGCTGGAGGAACTCGGTTCGACACAACTTGTCTCTAAATGACTGCTTTCTCAAAGTGCTCCGAGACCCGTCCCGACCTTGGGGAAAGGACAATTACTGGATGCTCAATCCTCACAGCGAATACACGTTTGCTGACGGGGTGTTCCGGCGCAGAAGAAAGCGCATCAACAAAAAGTTCAACAAGGAACAAGAGGTGTCCGAGCAGGTAGTGCAGCCCCAAAGCACGCCGCAGTCTGCGGCCGCCACCAAGCCTGATTCTTGTGCCAAGTTCACTAGCTCATTTGCTATAGATAGCATCCTCAGCCAGCCTTTCCAGAGAGACTCAAACAAAGAACATTCACCTCTCCTGCTTCCCTTCACCTGGCCATGCTACGCTGAGGTCATGACGCATCATTCAAACACACCTCCCTCACTTCCATATGTTAAAGGACCCTGCTATTTGGACTCCTGTGCTGCTGCGCATGTGCCAAACGCCTATGGACTGTTTTCACCGACAGTCTTGCAATTTCAAAAATAAATTCGGACTCATTTTATATTTGATGATTAATAATCATCAATATGCACTGATGAGCGGAACCAAGGGAGGGAATAGAACAAATGACAGGAGTTTTATGGGAATACATTGTATTTGACTTTATTGTGGAGACATGGTATTACACTTACTTATTTGGTCATTTCCCTTTTAAAACATTATCAGGTTTGATATGTTATAGCCGACACAATTTTCTTCTGTAAATGTTACTGAACTATGTCGTTTGTCCAACAAACATGTTAAAATATGCACTTTAACAGTTTGTGTCTCGTTCTTAAAAAGGCTCTTTGCAAAGAAATAAAAAACTAATGCTGATCTGTGTTTTCAATTGTCACACAACATGAATTACAAAGCACTCATAATGGTTACTGTGGGGCCAGACTGACACCTGCTTGATTCATTAACACCTGTTAAGTGTCTGAGGTGTTTACTGGGGCATGTGACTGTGACTCCACCCCACAGGAGCGCTCTGCCACACGGGCCTCCTTTACACACCTGCCTCCTTGAATAGAAATTCTCTCTCTGCTTTTCCAGTTTAGGAGGCACCACAGTGAATGTCACACTGACGACTCGCATGTTGACATTTGGCACGTGTTTTTCGCCGGATGCCCTTCCTGGCGCAACCCTGACTCGAACCCGGGACGCAGCGGGGAGAGCGCTGCGCCTTAACCACTAGCCTGAATATAACCTTAAATTTAGCATCCTTTGCAGGCTAAGATTTTCCTAAATATGAGAGATATCTTTTTTTTTTATTAATAAGGAAGAACATAAATCACCTCCCTTTTCTACCTGAAAAAAATACTGTCAGGCATGTATATGCCCCGAGTGCAATAGTTGTAAAAATAATAATAAGGCAGCTTATGTAATAATAATAATAATAATAATAATAATAAGGCAGCTTATAGTAAACTTATCAGTTTTCCTCTATTGTTTAAACTGCAAAAACTGCCTTATAAGTAACTGGTATTTACTTCTCAGCGTTTATGTTTAGTGTCTGGCCATACAAATACAGTAGCTGTCGCCTCAGTCAGAGCGCATGCGCAGCAAAGAGTTGCATCTGAGCGAACTGAAGTTGAATTCACAATAAGAAGAAGTGTATTCCAAACAGGTCTATTCTTCTAAAGCTAGAAGATGCAGCGGGGTTGCAGATTTGATGTTATTGATATTCTTGGTAGATTGTGTTTGCTAATGTGTGGGAATTATACTTAATGTGTTAAAGTTGCTCTAAATTGACCCCAGGCACAGGAAATGTCACACAATAATAACAACTCATAAGAATTTATTTCAATGCTTCAATCGGCCAATCAGTCTTGTCGTATGACTTTATAATCGATTTACTTCTCCAGGGATGTAAAAGCTCAAAGAGGAAAACGGACGCTTCTGCGCTGTGTATGTTATGTTGGCACACGACAGAAAAAGTATTCTTTCCCTCTTTCTCAGAGCCCTAACTCTGAACAGATCCCAAACCTGCCAGGTTTCATTCTCCTGTACACGTTCACAACATAAAACTATTAGTAGGTATCAGCTAGTGGAAGTAATTTCTCAAAACTATGTAGGTCTGTCGTGCCACATGTGGACATGAGATGTTTTGGAAAGTGAATCGTGGGAGGAGATTTGTCTCCACTGCGCCGCGTCGCGTCCGGCGTCTGGATGCTGGCCAGAGAGGGAGGGAGTATAGGTCCTGGCGACTTCTTGGAGGGATTTGGAGGATAGAAGAGCAGAGAGAGATTTAAGAATTGATAGGCGATCGAGTTGCGTTTGGCAGGGTGGATGTGCACAAGCAAAGTCACGGAGTTTCTCCCCCCCTCTGTTATGGGATTATTGCCAGCAATGGACAGAGAGAGGAAGGAGCAACAGCGGCCGGTGTTCTGTGATTTTCACGGTTATAAAAGCACGGAGCAGAAGTATTTAATTATCGCATCAGACAATATTTAACAACGTCTCAAATAGGTTGGTTATCCAAATATTATAAAGCCTTCACAGGACGGATCCAAAAAAAAAAAAATCGCAACCATGACGACTGAGGGCTCCCAGCAGCATTTGGATCTATGTAGTCCAGCGGCCAGTGCTCTGAATGCAGCTCTGCTGGGCGCACAGCCATTGATGGAGAGAGCGCACGCTACACCAACTCAAGGAAAAAAGGGAAACTCTGGCTTGAGACGCCCTGAAAAACCCCCTTACTCATACATTGCCCTTATTGTGATGGCAATTCAAAGCTCACCGACTAAAAGACTTACTTTGAGTGAGATCTATCAGTTCCTACAGGCTCGCTTCCCTTTCTTCAGGGGATCATATCAGGGGTGGAAAAACTCTGTGAGACACAACCTGTCTCTGAACGAGTGTTTTATAAAGCTGCCAAAAGGTCTAGGCAGACCTGGCAAAGGGCATTACTGGACCATCGACCCGGGTAGCGAGTTCATGTTCGAGGAGGGCTCCTTTCGCCGCAGACCTAGGGGGTTCCGCAGGAAATGCCAAGCTCTGAAACCAATGTACAGGATGATGAATGGTATCGGCTTTGGGGCCCTGCCTCAAAACTTTGATTTCCAAACACCTTCGGGCTCATTAGCATGTCACAACAGCTATAATATGGACTTGATGGGGAATACAGTGCCAGGTGGCTTCGATGGACTCGGAGGGGGGCATCATGTCCCACACATGTCAGCAGGCTCCGGGTCATCGTACATGGCTGCCTGTCAGGTGGCCTCTAACGCGGACTATTGCCCGGACAGCAGCAGTAGTGCGCTGCAGTCCTCCCCAGCGATGGTAGGCACTTTGGACTGTCACTCACACTGGAGTTCACCTGGTGTACCTTCCTACATCAAACAGCAGACTCTGGCATCAGGCAGTCCCCCTTCTGCCCTGCACACGGGGATGCCACCTTACTCTGTGGATCAGGGCTATCTGCACCATAATGCACGAGATTCTTCTGACATTTCAGGTAGAACCTCAAATGCATAAGTATAAATATTTTCTAATTACTGTTTTCACAGCTGAAGAATCATAAAAACGCTACATGGCTAACATTAAAAGGCACTGAGGTATCAGAAACATAAATCGTGTTTTGTGTGCATAAAATAGTATTTTTTCATGTTTCAGGCATCACGTGCATTAAACAATATACAAATCTACTGAAATTCACAATGCAATTTTTTATTATGTTGCAATGGATGACTAAAAAAATACATATACAAATCCTTATTTACTAAAATATTAATCAGCTGCCCACACTTTACGGAAATGTAAAGCACAAACAATGTGCACTAATTGATCAAAATGTACTGTCGCATAACATCTATATAGCTTTGACCCTGTTTTTCACACATTCAGTTTTTATCATTTATCATATAATCGTGTGCAGTTTTATGTGCCTTAGTGTGTAATTGAATTTCTTACAATTTGTATTGTCGGTGCTTCCAAAAACATACAAACAAACATACAAACCTCTTCATACTTTACATTCTATCCTGTGCTTTCTGTTCACACATATATATACATACATACATACATGCATACATACATGCATACATACATGCATACATATACATATACATATACATATATATATACATATACATATATATATATATATAAAGGCCCTTAACACGAGTTAGAATCGGACAATGATCAGGATATTTCCAGGATATAAGCTTTTGACTTCGTCTGGGAGATCTACCTCCTGGCAAAGGGCTGCTGGGCACCTGTACCAAAAAGGCCTTATTACATAGTATGTGCAGACTTGATAAACTGTAGCCCATTATCTATTACTAAATACAAAGCATAAACATTAACTCAAAGGTTGTTCTCACAAATGACTCTTAATTGGTCTAAGACGCATATTAATAGGCTAAACGATTATTTTTCATTAAGTCATTTTATGCCACCTAAATTGACTTTATTAGGGGTGCTTTATTAAAAAATGCCAAACAAATATGACCTATAGGATAAACGCATATTAATTTTTGTTGTGTGGCATTTGTAATAAAATAATAAACATTAGAGAAAAACATTCAAATAGAGCTTCATTTAAAAAAAGAAGAATAATAATATTTGACCTTGTCTCCTGTTTGTTTACAGTGGGACTGCCTCGATATTCCGGCCATTCAGCTCCTGTGTGTGACAGGAAAGACTTCGTCCTGAACCTAAACGGACTCACTTCCCTCCATCCAAGCTCCGGAGGATCTTACTATCAGCTTCATCACCAGAGCATCTATCGGGATGTAAAGCCATGTGTCATGTGACAAAAGAAGAGGCAAACGACCTCCACGGACAAAACTGTCAAGTACTTTTCATCTCTTTCCATCTTCAAACGGAGTTATTGTAACCAACCTTTTAAAGACGCAAAGACGATTTGATTTTCTCCAAACGCATATGAATAAACACTATCTACATATTTACTCAAACAAATGCATGGCACAGGTACCTGAATTATTCTTTATTCATGGACTTGTTGATTTCCTGCACAAGCCATTAAAGAGACTTATTTTGAAAGGAAAATCCGAAAGTGTTCGTTTTAGGAAACGTGTTTCTTTTGACAAGTTTTGTACAGAATCAGTTTTTAGATCAGCACTTTTTAGGTTTGTCGTTTTCTTCTAAAAAACATTATTATTATTATTGTTATTATGCATTCTAAATGGTGCTGTTTGGGGCATCATCGGAGAATTTATTTGATCAGAGCAAAGCCTTTAATAAATAGCCTATTCATGTTTCAAAACGTGTTTTGGTTTAATATTCAGTGTTATTTACTCTGATCACACAGTTAATGGGATTAAACAACTTTAAATGATTTACAAGAACGTAATCTTGCTTTATTGTTCAAACGTCATAATCATCATTTGTATTTCTTCCTTCCTAACTGCAATATAATAATTGGTTTTAAATTAGTAATAACAAAAAGAAACAAGATTTCGTCAATATATAATTATTATAAAAATACAAAAGAAGAACTAAGTCAGAGATAAGAACTGCTTGTTGCTTGTTTTTATGTGACTGTACCGCCACCTTGTGGTGACTGAACGGTTCAAACAACAAAATGTCAAGCTCTGTCCTCCTGAGACCCGGGATTCATATTTGTCCTCTGAGGAGGGCATGAAGCCGTGGCCTTTATTTCATACACAATGTTTGCAGTCTGCTTGTGTCCTGATGTTCTGGAAAGAGGACAGAAAGAGGACTTTCTATTAATGTCACGCAAATTGGTGTGTGGCCAGCAGATCACATGTTCAGTCTTTTAAAAATGGAAGCAAGCACCTTTTTTCTTCTGGGTCTCAGGAGGCTAAAAGAATTACATGCACACGTTTTATGGATGAATGTACAGACAAAGAATTCCTAAACACACATATGGACACATAAAATTGATATAAAAAGTCCAGTGAACCATTTAAAATGGTTTTAAGATTGTCTAGGCCTTAAATGTCACACCCTTAAGATTATTTTGTGTTTAGTCTTTAGATAATGACAGCGGAAGCCCAGTCATGTAAATGCATTGATGTGATCATGCTGTGTGCAGTGTAATGTATAAACATCTGCTGGCAGGAGTCTTGAGCATCTTTATTTCCCTGTTAATGACATTAACAGAAGCTAAGTCAGGAGTTCCCCAATCCATTCAATGAAAAGAGACTGGAGGTGTAGGTTTGAGCTACTTGAACCTGAAAAACGCACAAACATTTGGAGTTTACTATTCATAAGAATCATCTGTTGATGTGAACTAACTGTGCATCACCACAAGAGAGATCCCAGACGACCCTAGGTCAAGAATTGTTGGTTTGCATTAAGTTGAAATCATTTAGAGGAGCTTAGATCTTCATCAGTCCACAATCAGACAGACTGTCTATAAATGGAAACGAGTTTTAGTTTCGTGGATACTCTCCCTAGAAGTTGGCATCCAGCTGAAGGCTTAAAGCAAATCACTGGAGCTGGTTAATATCTCTGCTCATAAGTTTACTATACACAATTCACGGTGCATGATTGCATGGAGTATGAGAAGAAGCCACTGCTCTCCAAAACAAAAGAAAGAAAGAAAGAAAGATCACTGCCTCCCTGAAGCATTTTGAGAGTCCACAGTCTTACTGGGAAAATGTTGTGGACTGATGAAACTATGGTTGAATTGTTTGGGAAGAACAAGTAGTATGGCACTTAAAACTGATTGAACACCAACATGAAAACGCCACCCTCACGGTGAAGTACACTGGAGAACGCGTCATGATATGGGCTGCTTTGGTGCCTCTGGACCCGGACAGCTTTGTCATCATCAGTGGGGAATGAATTCCCAAATGTATCCAGGTATCTCGCAGGATAATGTCAGGGTCCCTGTCTACCAGCGGGAGATCGGTAGAAATTGGGTGATGCACAGAAAAGTGACGCTAAACATCCGGAGGGAGGCAAACAGGCAGCACAACCTAGCGCCAGGCACAGGTTCAGACCACCCTGGGCCTTCATCCCATAATTCAGTTCCTATAAAAGGGCAAGCAGTCAAAACTGACTACCACCAACCATCTTCCTACATATAGCCTCATATAAATCAATAAAAAAAAAATAGCACGTACGCACACAATTAAAGAAAACATCGTTGCGAATGCATCAACAAGCGCACTTCACTGCAGCAGGGCTGCACATTTTCTAACTCCACCTAACCTAATGTAAACATACAAGCATGTGCTGCTACATATGCTGTAATTTGCGACTCACAATCAGCAGCTAGAAAACGATGACTTACTCACCTATTGCAACGACATTCTGCTGTTTTTGTCTGTGCAATGTTCTCCTGGATGTGCCTTGGTGACATTTCTTGGCTTTACAATTTTCAAATCTGTGAAAGTCCTGCTCCATGGTAATGAAGGGGTGACAGCTTTGTTGCTAGCCAGGGTGTCGTCTTTTCTCTTTAGCTAATCTTTGCCCGCACTTGCTGACGACGCACAAATAATCCAGTTTATTCTGTTCAGAGACTTCATATTCCAAATCTCTCGTCTCCTTTCTCCTTGAACATCCCTCTTGAATTTGTATGTTTGTGCCAGGGGTAGCCAACCCTGCTCCTTCAGTGCCTCTGCCCTGCCACTGCCGATTACCTGGATCAGGTGTGTTCGCTCAATCAGAAGCTGGAAGATACCACCTTAAGTGAAGTGTGGAAAGACAACGTGAGTTGGTATCTTCCAGCTTCTGATTGAGCGAACGCACCTGAGTGGGTAAGGCGTGGATAGTTGGAAAACAAACAGGGCAGTGGCCTTCGAGGTTTGCCCATCCCTGGTTTGTGGCATTAGGAATCAACTCACTAAACGTTTTGAATTCCTACATTAGTGAATGCTGGGAGGGTATGTTTGATTTATGTAACTCTGTGTGCTCCGTGGGTGGTGCAAATGCAGCCTATGAGGAAATGACTTCCATCTTAATGGTAGCACATAATTAGTCCTTCAATTGACGTGGCATTGCTGTACATTGTTGATTTATATTATTTGAATATTCACGTTGCCCCAAGGGACCGCCTGGGCCCCCCAGATGGTGTGCGGCCGTACACACCTGACGCTCCACCCCTGAAGGAAGGTCCAACCACTTATTGACGTCAAGGCTTCAATTATTGCTTCCCCCAGCACTGTGAATGTATGTTTTCAATAAAGACACGAAAGGTTGTAATTTTTTGTGTGTTACTGGTTTAAGTGCATGTGTTTTTCTTTACTTGTGACTTAGATGAAGACCAGATCATAGTTTATGACCAATAAATTTTATAGAAAAACAAACAGGAAATTAAAGGGGTTAACATACTTTTCATGCCAATGCATATAGATATTATGTCAACATTTACTACAGAGTTCAATGATCAACACAAACATTTAAGAATGAAGCCATTAGGTCTCATATGACATGAGTTTATAAGAATTGGTTTATGTTTCTGCATGCTGTCCATGGTGCTCATGAAAATAATGAATATATGTTAGCCTATCTGCGATCAGTGATGGATATATCTTAAAATAAATTTGCAACAAACATTGTCATGATCATTCATTCTGGCAGACACTAGCGCCGCTGTATTCTAGGAACTTAACAATCGTGTGAAAAACACAAAATATTCAACACATTTCACACTTACATGCACCAAGTATATGACATACTATTAACTTTGTTCTGAGTAGTGCATCTCAGTATTTAAGGCCATGGATTCCCTTTATGTCACGGTCCCAGGCTTGCAGTGATTGTAGTACTAAGATAAACCAGGAGGTGGCAGCAGAGTCTCATAAATGTTCTGCATGACTGCTTTAACAAAGGATGGTAAAACCTGAACCTTCTGCGCGCCAGAGGGAGGCACAGTCATAGTTATAATGAACCTGTGATTGAGCCCTCTGTCTTTCTCTCGTTCTCATTCTATTCAAAAACAACAGCATGTTTCCATATGTTAAACTCAGTATTCTGAGATAATAATGAAAATAAAATGTATGGCACCGTGTTACTCAATTACGCATAAAAATCGGCATTATCTAATTATTGCATGCTTTTATTACTTGATTATTTGTTATGATCTCGGCTGATCTCAGCTGTAAGAAAAAGAAACATCTACCTATTGAAGGGCAAGACGCAGCGAGTTGACAAATGAACAAATAACCCAAAATAAATGCTAAAAATAAAATAACACTAAGTTAAATATCAGCGTAAATACTATTAAAGCAGGTAGATGTATTGTGATAGTAGCGGCGTCCCCTTTACACTTTAACTCCATGGGTAGCCCATGACAATGTTTGGCCTGCTGTTTTGTTGATTTATTTATTTATATAATCTGGTCCACTTGTTTCTCGTTTTCAGTCATGGATCACTTAAACAATTAAGAGTTAAGGAGGATTGGGTGGGCAGGCTGTGGTATTAAGTGAAAGGCCCGTAGTGAACTGTGTAAACAGCCCGGGGCGGTGGAAAAAGTTCATGCCCGGGTCCATGTAAAGAGAAACCGGCGCAGCACCAGCCACTCCACGGACATTTAATGAAAGAGGATTACAGCGATACTGGGACTGTAACTTCGCTTCCCAGCGACCACTAACAATTTCATTCAGTCGGCTTTGACAGAAGGTCTTCAGGGTCGGCTTATTGGACTTTTTTTTCTAGCTTGAGCCAAAATGTCTTTTATTTTTCTGATTTACCCTCCGAATCTCCGATTTACAGCTCATTACACTGCGTAATGTGCCACAGATTGCTATAAAACTCTCTAAATACTTGATACGCGAGAGTTATACCTGTGTGTGAAGAAAAGAACATTTATGCCTGTGAATAAGTGTAAAAAAAATAATAAAAATGTAGTCCAATTTGTTTAGTCAGGGGCTAGATTGACCCCAGACAGCACAAGATAACAGATATTCAGACATTTTGATGAAAAGCTCCACATGTAAGGTGTCATGGTCGTTCCCATTTGGTTCCCTGTTCTTAATAAACTCTCACACCTCTGGCCACTCAGCACAAACCGTCTTTAGTTCCAGGTGCAGGCTAATGAGATCGCACTTAACCGCCTGCTGATGCCAGGCCCTGTCCTGCTTTGATCTCACACTCATCTGCAGCGGCTGTTGAACCTTTCAACTAAATGGACGTTAAAACGCCATTTGGTTTA